CTCCAGAAAGCAATATACTCTTGCTCTAAGTCCTGGAGATGAGGTGGGAAAAATGAGTGTCAAATGTCCCAGAAGTTTATGCTACATCATGTAAACACTGGGAAGCCACAAGTCATTTCTAACTAGGGAAATTATATGAAAAAAATGTCAATTTTGCAAAAAGTAAAACAGAGTTATACTCTTTTGGGCCACACTTCCCTCCACCCATGCACCCCTATTAACAAATATCCCAGGGAGAAACGTGAAGTATGTCTTCCTTCAGCAACACTGGAACCTCAAATTTTTAGAAGTTAAGAAAGAACACAAAGTGATTTTATTTTCTGTTCTCATCAATGAGAATTTATTAAAGCAAATATATTTTCTTCTCTATATAGTTCATCATTGGTATAATAACTAAATGAGAAATTTTCCCTGGTATCCAATTTAATAAAACTGCAATTAGGAAACACCATATGAAACGTTGCCACTGGAGTTGTATTGATTAAATCAGTCACAGTGCAAATAAAAGAGCCTTGCCTCAGGGAAAAAAACTCACAGTCATCGAGCCCTGGTGATAAATGGACCAGTTTTTTCCCATTTGATGTGAGATCCTCATTTCTAGCCAACGTTCAGCTACTTCTCTAATTATTTCCCTCTTAAATGGTCTTATCTAATTCAGTCAAAATTATGCTCTTTATCACTATTATAATTTTTAATGTTGATATCTACTTCACAGATCAATTGCAAGAAGAAAAAGTTAACAATACATACATTACAACTGAAAGAGCATAAAAGTATTTTAAAATGAAAGGAGGATCAGAGCAACCTAAAAGTTTTGATTTATATAACAAACTCCTATTCAACTAGTTGTCCAAGCATTCATCAGTTTTTCAATACATTAACACAGGAAAAAAATCCTCAGAACCTAGTATTCTCATCATAATAATTATGAGTTTTAAGCCAGGCATGGTAGTACATGCCTATAGTCCCAGCTACTTGGGAGGCTGAGGCAGGAGGATCGCTTGAGCCCAGGAGTTCAAGTGTAGCCTGGGCAACATAGCAAGACCACATCTCCCCCCAAAAATAATCTCCATAATAATAATCATCTGAGAGATAACATGCATGGTCTTAACATTCACCATGCCAGGGCATCCATCATCCCCAGGCTGTCTACGTGGAGGGAGGGAAATCTCAAATTACCTGGTAAGTCATAGAAGTAGAGGCCAGGTGGAAATCTCATGTATTAAATCAGGATGGCATCTTACTTACCTTCTATCCACCGTGCTATGCACCAGTGTCTGAAATAGAGCAATTCCTCACTAAGTGCAGATATATTATGAAAATGAATTATTTATGACTTAAGAAATAACTTGTGTATGTACCTATTTTTCCCTCAAATTGTAAATCCCTCAAGGCTACGTGGCCAACTTCCATAGTATAATATTTGCTGAACTGATCTGAATTTCAACCAAAAACTAATCTTTAAGTACAATAGATTCTCTTTCATAAGGGCAACCTCTTGCAATAGAGCTGAAACCTCAATAAATCAGAAGCTTACACAAGTGGGTATTATGATTTCTTATTATCTGAGATAGCACCAGAAAAGTCACTTTTTAAAGCCTGGTTGAAACTATTTCTAAATGTGGACTTGCGCTCTTTGTCCAGATTTAAGTCTGGAGGAGCCTAATTGTGTTTTTCTTTGGTAATGAATTTGTACAATTATTTGCTTCAAGAGAGGAGATTGGAGATTTCTCCATTCTCCCCCCACCCTCTCTCCTCGGTCTAGCTGACACAAGATGATGAAAACTTTAACTAGGGAATGGAAAAAAACAGATGGATGGGAAATTGCATGAATTCAGGTGAGACACAGAAAATTAGTAGAGTTTTAAAGTTACCATCAAATCAGTTTGTGTTTGGCATTTTTCAAACTAAAATCGAGATATCCTGCTGGGTGGCATTCATGCTTGGTGGGCAGAGCGAATTCCATTATTCATGGAAGTGGCTCCGGATCTGTGGATGGAGATGGAGTAAGATTTTCCTCAGCCTAAATTTGAGACTCATGATCTGAAATATTAAGTATAAATATCAGAATGTTGGTGAGTACATAAACATTCTCAAACCTATGCATATATAGATTTATAAATACCTAAATCCAAACCAAAAATAAAAAGTTTCCCTACACCTTGGAATTTTTTTAGTGTTTATTTTCTGTCACCTACCTATAAACTTTCTGGAAGAAGAGTCTAGTTCAGAGTTTTGCATATTCCCTAAAAGAATTTCCAACTATGATCTCTCTCATGTGGTTTTAAGTTAACATCTATACATTTTCACCATAAATTAAAATAGTTACAAGGGATATAAGTTCTCATGTGTCATAAATATTGACATTTGGAAATAAAACTATATGTCACTCTTTTAAATGTATTCAATCAAACGTAAATACCATATAGAATTCATATCTACCTTCATCCATTTAAAAAAAGGCCTGAGCAGGCTATTTAATAATTGAAATACCAATTCTTTTTATTGATACATAGTAGCTGTACATATTTTTGAGGTACATGTGATAATCTGATACATTCACATAATCAAATCAGGGTTATTGGGATATCCAACACCTTAAATATTTATCTTTCTTTACCCTAGAAACATTTGAACTATTCTCTTCTAGCTATTTTGAAATGTACAATTGATTAATGTTAACTATACTCACACTACTCACCTAAAATTGTATTTTCATTCCACTTCCTACATGACATTTAATACTTATATAATTTACCTTTATGCTTGAAATTTTTTTATTTATAGCCCTATCATACTCTTCTGCAACAGAATATATACAGTAGATACAAGTTGAAATTTATCAATTTTATTTTCAGTGACCATGGAAATTAAGTGTTAAAAATTTTTCTTATGAATTGCATTACTATTACCATATTAGTAGACCATAATTAATTGGTCTGAACAACATAAACAGAATCTACATTGCAATAAGTAATCTTTAATCATAAGAAGTATTTATTGGAAATGCATCTCTTAATGAAGTGAATGGTGACTGCATTAAAGGAGTTGTCATACTGCTCTTTAATGACCAGCAAGATTTTGTAGGCGGTGGCAGTGCTTCCCCAGACGACTCTGGGTGGATAAGCGGTGTGCCTTTCACTTGTAAGGAGGGTGAAGTGTGATTGTGAAAGTGGATTATTAGGAAAGGAGAACCTGGAAAGGAACCAGAAGTACCTTCTCATGCAGGTAACTATTAAGAACGATCAGAACCTGCAGAGTTGAGGACAGGGAAGTTAATTTCCATCAAAATACCTATCCCTGTGTATCTCATGAGAAGTTTTTGCATATCCCCAGGGGATGCACATCTCAGTTTGAAGACTGCTGGTCCAAACCAGGGAATCTCTAAGGGCATGAGATTTTCAATCCAATGTGTTCTAGAAGCACATATTAAAACTTCTATTTGAATTTATTTTTATCAAAAAAAGAGAAGGTAAATTTGCCTTACTAATATTTAATATGGATTGACACTTGCTCCATAAGTCAGAAGGACCCTGGGTTTCTGGAGAGAAGAGTGGAATTCCCATCACTTGTTCACTCTTAGCATTTCAACCTAGTTTACCTGTGTCCAATTAAGTGTATTAATATACTTTATTATTTAGTTATAATTAAATGAATTCACACAAACTTAAAAAGATACATGAAAAGAAACCGAGGATTGAAGATAATTCTACTAAGGCAACCATAAGCAACTAACAAAAGGGTGAAGCACTTGACATTTCACTGCCCTTGAAGCCCTGAGACTGTGCCAAGCCCAATTTCCTATCCATCTGCTGCTCTCCATTTCCCAGCCCAAGAGCTCATCATCTGCTCTCAGGCTAATGGGGAAGCATCCTAACTGATCTACCTTCACATCCCCACCAGCCCCCCTCCAGCCCTAACACCAGACTCAAGCCTGACACTGACCAGTCAACTAAAGCATTCAGTGGCTCCTAGGCACATAAAACGCTTCACCTTCTAACCCTGTATCCAGGGGCCTCTGCAATCTGGTCACGGCCTAAGTTCTTAGAAGGGGGTCCCTTCAAGCTGCCTAGGAATCATACTGCTGGGCCCACGTGCACTTGCTGGCCGCTCAGCTGGATGGGCATTTTACCCTTTCTCCTCTCTCTGCAAGCCTCCAACTCCTCCTGCCCCATCCTCACTCTTAGCTCCTGGCCTTACTTCCTAGTCATTCAGAAAACTGAAGTAATCAAAAGAGGATGTGCACATGTCCTCAGCACCCCACTGCACTCATCTGTGCTGCCTTCCTGCTGGTTATGCAGATGGACTAACCAAGCCACTACCCAAGGCCAGCCCCTGACCCTGTTCACGAGATCCCATTCGTTCTTGCCTACTCAAGTACACTCATGGGCTGCATGAGGATGGTGCAGTCAACAACTGACTGCGTGTATGATGGCAGTCCCATGAGATTATATGACTGTATTTTTACTGTACCTTTTCTACATTTGGATATGTTCAGATACACAAACACTTAGCACTGTGTTATAGTTGCCTACAGTACTCTGTACAGTAATACGCTGGACAGGTTTGTAGCTTAGAAGCAATAGGCAATACCGGGGTGGGAAACCTTTTCATGTTGGAAGGCTGCATTAATGTAGCTCTAATCAAATAAGGCCACATTCAAGAAACTTCAATTAGATATGCTTAATAATGTACATTATTTTGTAAAAATCTAACTACTATGCACTTAATAATTTCAAAAATGAAAACTATATGTTAATTTTAAAGTTAACTAACATTTTAATGACTTTGTTGTATCTGCTTTATGTTGGAAAGCATTTGAATATTTGGTCACAGCATGGAGGTCTGCAGTTTCAGTTGATCCTCTAGATGGGTGTCAGTCATTTGTGACCTTAAGGGCATCTTGATTTGGGTGAGGTAGGAGAATATAGATTCGCAGCAATAAGTGGTTAAAATGCAAGAAAGCATGTTTAGAGAATGTTGCTGAAGGCGTGGGTATTCTACTGCATTTTTCTATATTTCAACTGGATCTTTCTTAGCATCAACAAAAACGTTAAAATGCCATCTACTAAGAGCTCAGTCAACTCAATCTGTAGTTCTTTAGGTGCCTTAGTGATATCAAACAGGTGAGGCTGGAATGCTAATTTGATTGTGATGTCTTGAGTCTTAAAGTCAGTGAATCTTTCATTGTATTCTTCAATTAATAGGTCTATATCAGCTGCATATTCTTCAAATGATTCATATATATCATCCTGCTCATCAATGACCTTTGCTAACTGGGGAAAATGTTCATCTAAAATTTCCTTTTGAAGAAGTGTTTTGAAAAAAGACAGCTTTTTTTTTGAAATGCTTGGAATTTTTTGCCACATATCATATATAGACTTAGTTTTACCTTGCAAGGAAATATTTAAGTCATTTTGACTTGACATGATATCACACAGAAATGCTGCATTCCTATAGAAGTCGTTCAATAATTCACATTGCTGATTTTGTTCTTTATAAAATTTAACAATCTATTCTCATAGAGATAAAATTTTGGCTAACCCCTCTCCTTGCAATAGTCAACACATTTTAGAATGATATGGCAAATCCACACTGAACACTTCATGGTTCAACTTTAGCATGTTACAAAACTGACAATGCCGTGTTACATTTGCATGAATACAGTTAGCAACACTTATAACTTCTTGCAAAGTGTCACTTAAGATAGTAGCTTTAGCACAGAGATTTTGCTGATGCAAGATACACAGAAAGAAATGGGAACAGCTGGATCTGTTAATATTTATCTGTGCAATAAACCCCTGGTGTTTTCCTGTTGTGGAAGGTGCCCCATCTGTACATACACTCTCTAAATTTACCAAATTCAGTCCAACTTCACAACATTTATCTTGAAAGTTGTTGGAAGATATCTATTTTCCATGTTCTGTTCCCAAGAGTGCCCAAAGCAAGTAACTCTTCGTAGCAAAGAAAATCTTATGTTATGACCCAAATGAAGTCAAAACCTGCACTGAGTCAGTAGTATCAGTTGATTTATCTCAAGCAATTGAATAACGTATATTTTCCTTTTGAAGTATTGCATGAAGTTGTTCTGTTAAGTTGAAGGCTAATTCATGCTGCCAATCAGTTATGGTCCTGGAAAGAGGCAGCTGTTTGTACTTTGAAATGTTATCGGGGTCTGAGCATCCTACAACTTCGACAATACATTTTTCCACAATTTCTGCATCACTGCATGGCTTTCCATTTTTCCTAAGTATATAAGTTACTTTATAAGTTGCTTCAGTGGTATTATTTCCAGGTCTCATTGCTGCTTGAAAGAATTGTCTTTGCTGTTGCTTTTCATCTGTTAATTTCTGCAATACAGCCTTTTATGCCTGTGCCTCTAATTTAAAATATTTGTGGTCCTCGTGAATGTTATAACGCTGATGAGCATTGAATTTCTTTAATGTTGGTGTTGCAGTATTACAAAGCAAGCAAATCATCTTATCTTTAGCAGAAACAAGATAATATTGCAATTCCCAATCCTCATTAAAAAATCTGTTTTCTCCCTTCAGCATTCCCTTGGCCTTCTTTAGCATAATGGGCTGTTAAGCAGACAGAATTAAAAAATATTGTCGAGCTGTGCAACTATTTACAAATTCCATTTCAAACAGAAACACAGTGAACTGTTGTCAAAGGCTGATAACAGATTGGTGTAATCAACCCCCAGAAACTCTAGTTACCCAGCTTCAGGTGGTAGTGGCACCAGTCAGGCGGGAAAGTTAGGACTAAATCATGAGGGTAGCAGCCGTCAATTTAGCCCTTATGGCTTACTGATGTTCTAATTGTGCCGGTCAATCTGGGAGGATTGTTTTGTTGAAACTTATTTTATTCTTTGGTATTTTAAATACGTTCATTTTAAAAATAAAATAAAAATATTAAAGATGAACAAAAATGTATTAATAAAAATAAAAAGATTTGTTCTATAAAATTTGGATTCAGCCAAAGGCCACACTTAAGGACCTAAGGGAAGGGAAGTGGCTGCATAGTGAATATGGGGTTTCCCTTCAGGGTGATAAAATGTTTAGGGACTAGATAGAGGTGGTATTTACACAACAGTAAATATGCCTGTTCATATAACACCTACCTCAATGTCTAGGCATAGTAAATATTTCTTGAATGAGATAATGAAAATATTCTTTTTTGTTTATTAATAAAATTAACCATTTAAAAGTGAAAAAAATGGCATTCAGCACACTCATATGTCTTAGGCAGCCCCCAGACCCAGCCTCCAGAAAGTATCCTTTGTATAACAAGCTTTTAGGGTAAAGACATGGATAGGTCATGCCTCAGACTTCCTTGACCCCTGAGGAGGTTAGACAAACATCTCTATGAGGGGTTCTCTATGCTGCGGGAACACCTGGGGATGCAGGAGTCAAACGTCAGTCATCATGGTGGCATCACTCTTGCCAACCGGCACTGCTTTCCTAAAATACATAGATAGATAGATAGATATACAGAATATATATTATATACATAGATTCAATTTAAAATATATGTATATATATATTCTTTATTACAGGTCCAAGACTCTCCGGAGTGGTCATGGCAGCCAGCAGCACTCAAGATGGCAGCAGCCCTGTGAGCACAGGTCCCAGAGTGAGTGGAGCAAAGCCACTGGTGGACCCTTAACAGACCTGGAGCATAAATGAGAAATCACCTTTGTTGTCACAAGCCACTGAGATTTGGGGGTAGTGCGTCTACAGCACAGTATGGCCTCCTTGACTGACACATGACCACACCCTGAGCACGTCTTTTCTGAGTTATCTTTTCAGTCTGATGTTAGTTTGGTAATACAGAGATTTTTGCTGGAACATTTCCTTGTCATGCCTGCATCTAGCCAATACCTCTACAGGAAAAAAAAAAAATCAATGTTATCAGAAATATTTTATGCATATTCAAGCAAATTCACACTTTTTCTCCTTTTTTGCAACACAAATGGTTGCATGTTTTACATTCTGTTCTGGACCTTACTTTTTTTCACTTTATATTTTGGAAATTATTCCATGGCAGTACATATATATTTTTTCCTTATCATTTTTATACCAACATAATATTTCATTATAAGAAGATAGTGATATTTATTTATTTAACCAGTGCCCTATTGATGGGCCTTTGAGAAGTTTCCAGTCTTTTACCATTCTGAACAATATGGGTTAACCCTCAGGATACTGAGAAAAATAATTACTATCATTTACTTCTGGGCCCAATTGACCCTTTTAATTTTGTTTATATCTTAAGTAATTTTATGAGTGATTTATAGGAGTAAGAATAAAGGGATGGTGACAAACAACTCTACTAGAAATTATAAGAATTTAAACATAGGAAACTGAAATTTCTGTCCCACATTTTCCTGTTTTGAAATTATATGTATTACAAATGGGCAATGTCCTTTGCTTGCCACAAACTGCTCATGCCCTGTTTTGCATGAACCTAGAACATATCTGCCTTGTAAAAACTGCTTCCAGATTTCAATTACATATTTAAAAGTTTTAGCTTATCATTACTTCTCATTCTTCTCCTTTAACCTGCAAAACATAATCCTTTTGAAAACTCTGATACTCACAATTTTGTTGAGGAGAGGACAGCCACCTTCTTTGTTCCATAATTGCAAAATATTTTCACGGTTAGATTTATAAACCCCAATAAGAATGGTCAATCCAGTGAATTGTGTTCTTTCTACATCATCTATTTCCTTCCAATCACCTTTGCACACACCTGCCTTTATCAATTGTCCACTTACAGATTGTATCAAGTAAAGTTTGTGTATAAATGTCGCAAGAGATGAAAGAAAATTATCATATATCCTTTTAGCAAGATGGATCCTATTTCTTGTCACAAAACGTTGTGTTAATAGTTCTTCCTGTTGAAGGACTGAGTATGGATATGAGAATCTATATTTTCTTTTGTCATTAGAAGTATATTGTTCACTCATTGACTCTTGGATTTGAGAAAATCCATCTAGGGATATGGTCATCTGAAGAGTCATTGAGATTTCTTTCATAAGACTCATTTCACCATAACTGTTAGCATCTAGATACACTGCTGGCCTCTGTCTGTCTCACACATCTTTTGATTGTCTAATACTTGCGAGTGCTGTGAGTGTTAACTGCTAGAGCTCACAGCTCACCTCCTCTCCAGCAAATTGCCTTGGCAGAACAGCTCCTGCCTCGTTGAGACATCAGCAGCCAGAGACTGACTGACCCTGAGGGATAAGAAGCCCACCCCTTGCCTCGAGCCTGGACCAACTCCGATGCTATTTTTACTCTAAGGTCTCCATGGGACCAGACTGAAGCTAGACTCCACCCAAGACCACAGCCATACTTCCTTTCTTCCTTTGCCCTCTCCTACTTTCCTCACTCCCTTCTCCTTGGAGCACACTGTAATAAATTACTTTTACCAGAATCCCCATTGCAGGCTGTGCTTCTAGGAACTTGGCAGTGAGGACCCCTCCCAAGTGGTGGGTGGAATACTGACCGTCCCTGACATGCTGCAGCCCTGCAATGGAAAACTTCCACCCGTGGCGCCCTGGGCTGGGCAGCAGGACCCATTCATGGTCTTCCCTGAGCAGTGTTGATTCTCCTGCTCTTTGTCACCAGGTAGTTCAAAGGGACCTGAGCCCTGGCTGCTGCAGATGTCCCAAGGCTGTACCTGATACTGGTCATCTTCCTCTTCCCCCTAGGAGACAATAGGTGTCTTGGGGAGAGATGCTGGTGTCACAGTGGCAGGTGACATGGAGTTCAGGCCAACTGCTTGTGCAACCCATTTGTGCCTCTGGGCCTGCTGTGCCGTATCCCAGATGTGCCACTGCCATCTTACTGGGCCCACCTGATCTGAAGAGTTGGAGGGTCCCGCAGAAACAGCTCATTATGGGACATTCTGGCCATTGAACACGGACGTCTCACCAGACACGCGGTTTCTATCAGGGCCCAGAGGCACATCAGGGCTGCTTTTTGAATGATCTCTAGTTCTCTGCTGCATGAGGCACAGACGTTCTCCAGAACCCCAGGGGTCTGCACTGTGACTCTCCTACCAGGGCTCAGCAGAAGCTGCACATGACATCTTTCCCAGCCACAGACATGTCTAGTTTGGTGCGTCGGCAGAGTGGAACGGCACAAGCAGCACTGCTCCCCTACCGCAGCCCGGACAGCTGCAGAGCTCTTTTTGCTCTTAGCTCAATTCAAAACTAGCAATCTTCCACGTGACCTGATAAATGGATGAGATCCCCATTCCCAAGTGAGGAATGTGCTGCTTCCAAAACCCACAGAGGCCTAGCAAGCACAGTGCTTCCTTCCTCCTGGTGGTTGGAGGTGCCATCTGCAATAACTAACCTTTTACTTCGGGAAGGATTTCCTGGCATGCCAGGTCACTGGACCCATAAAAACATATTCATGTGGAGGTTCCTTATTCTTTGCAGGGGTCTTCCCCAATCCTCTGGAGTGCATGTGTCTTAACAGGCATCGCCCTTGCTCATCTGCTCTGATTAACACACGCTCAGCATGGAGGGCCGGTGTGCTGCTGTGCAGAATGTCTAGGTGGTTCAGGGGAGGAGGAAGATGATGAGGTTCAGGTACAGCCTCGGCACATCTGCAGCAGCCAAGGAGGGTGTGTTTCATCCCTCTAAGCCTCCTCTTGTAAACGGCTCCAGAATGTGTGGCCAACCAGAACCCTGGAGAGGCTGGGCCTGGACAGGGCCACGTGCCGTGAGAAGTGAGTGGGTCTGAGCGGGGCAGAGACGGAGCCTGCCCCAGATGCTGCCAAACAGCACCGTCCCAGCACCGTGTGCTTCCCTCCAGACTTCTTTTACGGGAGGGACACAAACGTCTATCTTGTTTTGCATATTTTTTCCTTATATACGCCCCTAAATCTAGTTCAAACTGATACAAAGGGGAAGATAAACACTCTCATGTGAGATGGTAAGAGCATGAGGGAATTCTTCCACCTGACATCAGAGCAAACAGAAGGCCAAGCCAAAGCCAATAACCACGAACAAGATGAAAATAAACCACTTGGCAGTCATACAAGCATAATTCAAGGGCACTAAAAGGAAGCAAAAGTGCCATGTCATGAAAGACAAAAAAAAAAAAAAAGTTGAGGAAGGCTTCTAGGTTAAAGGAGGCTGCTGTGGACTGTAGCGTGTCCTCCCCAAAATTCCTATGTTGAAGCCCTAACCCGCCATGTGATGGTACTTGGAGATGGGGCCTTTGGGAGGTGATTAGGGTTAGATGAGGTCACAAGAGTGGGGCCCTCATGATGGGATTAGCGTCCTTATAAAAAACGATGCCAGAAAGCACTTGCATTCTCTCTGCCGTGTGAGGACACGGGAAGAAGGTGGCAAGCCAAGAAGAGCCCTCGCCAGGAAGTGACCACGCTGGCACCCTGATCTTGTATTTTCCAGCCTCCAGAACTATAAGAAAATAAACTTCTGTTGTTTAAGCCACCCAGTCTATGGGATTTTTTTACGGCAAATGAAGTTGACTAAATGCAATGTGTGATCCTTGATTGGATCCTGAATTTCTTTTTAATCTGCAACGGAAGATATTGGCAATGTTAAAACAACAAAACAAAAAGACAGTGTAAAAACAAGCATGGAGGAAGCTCAATCCAAGGCAGAGAAGCAGTCTTTCCCAGATGCTTCTCCCCATGGAAGCACTTACAAGACCGTGGCTCAGTGACTCCAAGAGAGCATGGTCGAATGGCAGCTCAAGATGGGATGGCAGCAAACTGAGAACCGAGACATTAACATGGCACATCTAAGGCATTATAAAACAGCAAGAAACGGAACCAAAGCAGCTGAAGATGAAACTGATGACATGGAGAAAATCTGTGAGATAATCACAGTGCACGTGAAAGGAGAAGACAAAGACTTACAGAAGACAAAAACAATAGTGTAAGACTATTCTTCACATCGAAAATCCAACAGGAAAAAAAATCAAACACAAAATATCGGAGAATTTCCCTAAAATTAAAGAAAATTAATTTTAACAGATTTTTAAAAACACACCAGGTAAAAAGCAACCAAAGAAAGAAATAAAAAACATGACAAGAAAATCTGATATAGAGCAATAGGCACTGAGACCCATTCTGGCTAAGTTACTGAACTTTGAGGATGAAGAAAGATGTTTTCAGGTATCCAACCAGAAAAACCAAGTCATCTGTAAAAACCTGGCTGGCCTCAGACTCCTCCACGATAGCATTTCATGTCAGTAGGCAACAACTAACCAATGTTCATGCACTTTGAAGGAGAAGAGTGACCCCACACTACTAGACCCAGAAAAGTCATCATTTGAGTATAAAGGCAACAGAGAGATCTTCTCAAATGTGAACTATCTCAATGTATAGATTAGCCATGAGCCTTCTGGGAAAAACTACTTAATGATGAAATGTAGCCAATCAAGAGATTAATCAACATAGTAAATTCCAGAATGGGGAAAGTATAGCCCTGAGCACTGAATCGATCCACTTAAATGTTGAAGCACAGTTAAACATTTGGAAAAATTATGGTTACATAACAGAATGGAAACATTACCAACTCTGAGTAAATAATATGAACCAGGGAGGGGCATGAGGGGGCTTCTGATAATGGCCTCACTTTACACCTGTGTGGGCACCATAGCCCTGGAGTTGGAGGCAATAGGTTTCTGAGACACTGGCTGGGACCCATGTAGTGTGGAGCTGAGCCTGTCTCAGAAGTCCCTGCCGATCTGAGCACTACTAGTATCTCAGGATGAGAAGGAGCTTGGAAGCTCCTACAGGAATCTGATGAAGTCATCAGGGGAAAGTGTAGGCCTTATTAGGGTTTTTCTGTGATTCCCCAGAAAACACTGAGGAAGAGACACAGGAAGGAAAATTCATATGGCCCAGTTCCTCTTTGATACTATACCAAAACTGGACAAGAGGTAGTTTCTTAAAGGTTAGTTGCAATAAGGAATCTGAAATGGTATCAATGAACATTGTATACTCTGTAAATGACAGAATGAGAGTGACAAGGCAAATACCACCTTAGCATTATCAGGAAAGTAATTTGACCTTGGGGACCTCAGCTTTGAGAACCACGTGTCCTGGGGAGTGGCTCCCTGCAGAGGGGGGCAACTCTGGAAGGAGGACCTCAGGCAGGGAGATCTGTGGGACAGCGGCAGATGCTAGAATGCTTCAGAACAGGCATCTGAACTTACTGTAAACCCCAAGAACCTTCCAGGTCAGCTGTTTGCACCAGGGGAAAGATGGCTGCAGACTCAACCTTAGAACAGAGTGGGTGGAGCTGGAAAGGGAGACATGGTTGGTGCCCCCACCCTCCAGCTCCGCAGCAAGTCAGGGCACCCCCTCTGTGCCTTACAGTAACACCTCCACCCCCCAGGGCTCCGGGCTGTTGCATGGAGTTAATGCCTGGGGGAAATAGGGCTGAGCAAGCAGGTACCAGACACCTTAAAGTCTGAGAGGAGGCTCGAGCCCATCTGGGGAAGGGCACCTTGGAGTGCAGTCTTCATTCCCAGCTCAGTCTTGCCAAGTTCATTCCTGGCCAACTTCATGGGTGAACGATGGAGATAGGTGCAGGGATGGGTTTGGGGGGTATGTTAAAGTGATCAAGACACAGCCCAGACCCCACGAATCAGGGCCACAGAAACTGATTGGTGTCATTGGGCCCCCATTGCTGCTTCTAGGCCTCCAGGACATATGAAGTGGGGACCGTCTTTCCCATAGCTGCAGGGCAGGTGGGACACCACCACAGAGACCCAGAGGAGGACCGAGGAAGGGTCCCATGCCCCCTCCACATGGCATGAGGTGGCCTAGGCAAGGGCTGTGAGTCTGCAGCTGGAGCTTGGATACAGAGGGGATTGGCAGCTGGCGGCTGATGGATCCCTGGGGTGAGAGGAACATTGCAGGCCCCGCAGGAGCAATGACAGGGTACAGGAGTGACAATTAGGGGCACTCGACCAAGCAGCCCTTGAATGGATTGTGACGACTCTCCACATCCTGAGGCCCAGCTAGTCACCTTGGCCTGGAGAAGCTGTGGCTGGAGTGAGGATGCCAGCAACGGCGAGGCGGGCAAAGTGTATTTTGGGGCCTCCCAGTAATCTGGGCGGCTGGGGCTTGACCCAGCTTGACTTTGGTTTAGAAAATTAAAAAAACGGGCATGACCAGCACCCCAGGTGTCCTGGAATAAGCACACCCGTCATTCCGCGACCTGCCAGGGCCCTCCAGAGCAACTTTGTTTTGCCATCAGCTGTGCTGAGCAAGGCTAACACACCCATCCTGCGCATGAAGATGCTAAAAAGAGCGCCTAGAAAGGGCCTTGAATTTCACAGAGGCAGGTTCCTGGCTGCAGGCTGAGGCAGGAGCGTGGGGGGTGCTGTGCACTCAGGCCCAGCAGCGACAGGAGGAAAGGATCCTCAGAGAGTAGAGCCCACCACGCACTGGCGGGGGCTCTGAATTCTCTGTGCTCTGGGCTCCAGTCTCTGTGCTAAACTGTTCTCTAGGTCTGTAGACAGCTCTCATACCAGGATGTCCCTTCCCCATCATCCTCAGATTCCCTTTATGTCTATTTAACCTATTCTGTGGCGTCCCACGTCCTTCTTGTTCCCGGTTTACTCTTTGTGTGAAGTGCTTCTGCTTCCTCTGATAGCTCTCTGAGAAGCAATGCATGGGATATAAAATTTTGGAGACTGGTCACTAATTAATCCACAAATCTTATTTTAGACTATTTTAGATCTTTCCCAATTTAAAGCTCTCTATCAAAGTATTAAGACTTCACATTTGTCAAATATTAGAATGATTCTTCTCTTTCCCTAGTTCTTTGTTACCTCCTTCAAATTTTGCCAAAAAGACAAGGAACCTAGAAATAAAGTTGCAAATATGCAAAGCAAAGAACCTGTATTATATACATAATGGGTGACTAGTACCTGAATGACAGCTGTTTAATATAAAAATGGAGATAATTTTAAAAGTTATTTACAGATTTTAACCCTCTAATAAACAGTAAAGTATTTCTTAAAGATGTTCCAAAAAATGAATAGAGGATGCAAATGGATACAGAGAGTTGCTAATGGCATGGAAAGCAGACACTTATTTTTGCTGTTCCCAAACCAAGTTGCAATGATGACTGCTTTTTGTCAGTAATGACGACAACATGCCCACAGTCTCCTTGGTGCCAGTGTAAGTAAGGAAAGCCTAGTTTAATATGCACGTCACTGAAGGTGAAATCTTCCATTCCAGCAGTCCGAAACTTCCGCAGCCTCTGTCATGGGACTCTGACGCTCAGTGATAGTCCTGTGAGAGGGAAAAAGGGAAAGGATACAACATTGCCCCACAAAAACTTAAAAATTACAGAAAAGGGTTTGTGATTCACACAACCTGGCTCACCCAACTAACTGGACAGTTGCCATCTTGAGATGAAGACCATAATGTCTGATACATATTGGGATAAGAGGACACTGAATTTTTCTTCATCTATTAGAGTGATAATTCTCAAAGTGTGCTCCCTGGGATCAAAATCACCTCCACGATAATACTAAGCTGTTACCTGCCTTGTTAAATTCTTATCCTCTCGTAAGTGACCGGTTTTCTGGAAGCAACATGATGTTTATCACTTCAGCTTGAATGCAAAATGTATAACAATTTCTCATCTGGTTTGGAAAACAGGTATTTTTCACAAAAACATTAACATGTAATGAGATTATTTAAATTAATACTTCAAATATTCCTTAGTTTCGATCTTTAATATGATAAATATCAATAGCTACAATGCACATATGCAATAGTTCTTTGGGGCCCTCAATTATTTACAGTATAAAGGAGAGCTGAGACCAACAAGTTTGAGAACTGCTGCATTAGAACACAGATTAAAATTTTTTTATTTTATTTATCTTTTTAGAGATATCTTTTTAGGTCTCACTATGTTGCCTAGAATAGAGTGCAGTGGCTATTCACAGGCGCGATCAAACAGCCTCAAATGATCCTCCTGCCTCAGCCTCCTGAGCAGCTGGGATTATAGGCATGCACTGCTATATCCAGCTTAATTTTTGTTAGATGTATATAATGCTCAATATAAGATCTACAAAAAATTCCTTGCAAAGATCCTTAAAAGACCAGTAATAGGATTTGTGGAGATATCACTACTTTGAGAAGTAGAAATAGGAGTTTAAGAAGATTTTTGGAAACTATACCTGCTCAAATCTCTGCATTCCACATATCTGTTATCATTGTAAAATGTTCCTCCAAAATAAAAGAAGGCTGATTTATATAGGTCCTATAAGAAAACAGATGTCGAGAGAAAGCCTATAATTAACAATTATAAAAAGTATTAATTAAAATATATATATCATAAAATCACACTAACATGTTCCAATTGCTTTATGAAACTTCATAGAACATGCTCAGCATATTAAATCTGTTTAAAATTTGATGGGAACCTACTATGTGACAAGTACTACGTTAGTTACCGGGAATGAAGGTGTAAAGACACGTTCCCTGCTGCAACTTTCAATTTTATCCTGTTGCTGTTTTTAGTCACTAGCTTTGATTTAAATTTGTATATTGTCCTGCAATTCATAAAAGGAACACAATTAGAAATCCAATAAACTTCAGTGTTATTTCATTATATGCATAGATAGCAATGATAACTATTTTGGATACTAGAACTAAAAACTAAACAAAATCTTATCTTTGATGTCTCCCCTGTAAAAACAACAATCATTGATTGAGTTATATTTTCCTGTTATTTTTTTAGTATTTTCAATGAGTTCCCTAAAAAAAAATTCTCTCCTTGTATTTTCAATAACTCTCGGGCAGACAGAATATGAATTTCTATGTTTACGCAAGCAATCTTGCCCCAAGTACCAGAGTAGAAGCGCAACTGGTCTAACTTCAGGTTTCTTAACTTTCATTCTTCCAGAGTTTCTATCAAAGGGGTGGCTCTTAATCCTGACTGCAAAACAATCACAGGAACTCCCAAGACCAAGTCTCACCTCAGACTCTATACGAGAATCCTTGAGGATGCGGCCCAGACGTCGGCATTTTTCCAAAGCTCTCTAGGAAAAATAATGCAAGCAGAGTTGAGAACCACTGTTAGAACGGCCCTCCCCCATATGCTTAGAAACAGGCCCCCGGAAGAGCGTCAGAAGACCTGAGTTTTTTTCCTTAACCTACTGCTGATGATAACAGCTTTGTGACTCTGGGCATGTATCTCTCCTCAGACCTCGTTTCCTCACCTGCAAAGTGAGAATAGTCTCTGCCATAGTATCGGGCAAGATTGTGGGGAGGATCAAAAGCTGTTTATGACCTGCAGAAGATATGTGAGTTTCGGGTACTAAAATAATTTTACCCTAATGTTACAATGTCTCTCCTACTTCTTGGAAGCTTCCATTTTTCTTTCATAATCGTCTTCATTTCTCCATTTACAGATCATGTGGCACTGGTGTCAGACACTCTTGCCACGACCGGTTCTGCTGTCTCTCCCTGGACCTGTCACTACATCTCACTGACCCTCTGGACTCTCACGTAAAACATGAGTAAAGCCATTACCTTCCTCACAGGTCGTTGTGGAGATATAAAGATACTTAATACCAAACGGAAAATCTGACACTTTCTATACTTCTAAACCCTCCAAAAGGTAAGCCAGGATCCAAAATAAGGTTCGATGTATATAAAATTTTGTTCATTACAAAACACTTCTACAGAACTTCATCTTAAGTGATTTAAGTAATCTCAATACCAGTGAATTTTCATTTTTAACAGTAACCAAAAGATCACTAACCGGTTTCCCTATTTTGTCAGTATCTCAGCTAGATGAACTGACCAAGTTCCAACTGTGTGTGTGGCGGGGGGTGTTGGGGGATCACCAACCAATACGCAAAAACCAGTATAAGAAGTTACTTCCGTTAGTAACCAAATGTACACTGTCCATTTTACAAAGTAACTACTGATAACTAGTACAGCCGTTTGAACAAAGACATGATTTATATACAATTTTAAGCATTAGTTATTTACTCTCTTGCAAATATTCAAATCAGTTATAGTAGAACTTCAGAAATATTCCTAGGATCCTCTGCGAGGGAAATGGTACTGGGAGAGAATTTGCTAGAGGCTTGGTTAAGGAAATCTTTACAATTCACATGTATGTTACCATTTTTCCTTTACAAAAAACTTACAATAAAGAACAGAATAATACATGTGTGAAGTATGTTCTTAGAGTTCCTCTAAGAAAGACCTTTAAGAAGCTCACGCCTGTAATCCCAGCACTGTGGGAGGCCAAAGTGAAAGGATCGCTTGAGGCCAGGAGTTGGAGACCAACCTGGGCAACACAGCGGGACTTCAAAAAATTTAATGAATTAAAAAAAAAGAAACACCCTTCAAGTCCTGCTTAGTATTGGAATAAAGATTCTCACTTCCTTAGCTATAAGAGCTGCAACTCCCTCATTTGTTCCGTGATTGCCAGTGGAATACACTTAAATATATCCCTGTCAATAAAAGCATTGGAACTCAGGGACTTACTTTCAATTTTGTTTGGTGTGACAATGACATGAGATGAACAGATGAGATAATTCTGGCAAAATGCTGAGAAATGTTGAAGCTAGGCAATACGTACATTAGAGGTTCATTATACTAGTCTCTTGTTTGTTTGAAATTTTTGAAAACAAAACTGTTTTTTTCTTAACATAAAATACAACTGCCAATCAATGAAAGAAAAATTTCTAAGGGTCAGAAAATTGTTAGCATTAGTAAAATCTCACTTATGTGTTCACCTTTCCAAAATACAGCTGGAGAATAAGGAAGCAAACAAAACAGATCTCTGAACGAAGATACTAGAATCTTGCTGTCATGCATATTTTAATCACAGCATCGCTCAACTTTTCACTCAGTGCCTATTCGCCACGTAAACAAAATGGTAGAGAAAGACATCTAAAGTCAAGTTTAATGCCAGCAATATAGAAAAGAGGAAAGAATGTGGGCTTCGAAGGTGAAATGGCATGGGTCTAAATACAGCTCCCATCACTGCTTACTGAACTTGGGCAACTCACGACAGTGCTGTGAAATCATTCTTTCTCGTACCTGTAAAACGGAGATAATTCATTCCAAAGATAGCATACATGTGGCACATGGTAAGCGCTCTCAGATGGAAGAGGCAGAAAGAGCGTAACAGTAAATGTGTAAATATTTTTAAACAGGACTATAGGTCATTTAGCCCCTGCTTAGAAAACTTCTAAAGGCATCAGCATCTACGTACAAACACAATAAATTGACTAAGACTTGTTAAAAACATTCTCCAGGGTTTCCTGAGGGGTTTCCCCCAAAACTGACTCAAAATGGCTTGAGGGCCAGGCACAGTCTCTCACGTCTACAATCCGAGCACTCTGGGAGGCAGAGGTGGGAGGACTCCCTGAGCTCAGGAGTTTGAGATCAGCCTGAGCAAGAGTAAGACCCCATCTCTACAAAAATAGAAAAAATAGCTAGGGGGGTCACAGCACACACCTATAGTCCCAGCTACTTGGGAGGCTGAGGCAGGAGGATTGCTTGTGCCCAAGAGTTTGAGGTCGCAGTGAGCTACAATGACACCACTGCACTCTACCCAGAGTGATAGAGTGAGACTGTATCTCAAAAAAAAACTGCTTTGAGCAATGACACAGTTGGAATGAAGAGGGTAAATTCAGGTTTTTATTAGATTGATCTTATTAATTTACTGTTGCACCTTGTGGTTTTTTGGTAGGGTTAAGAAACTGCAAAATATTGCTGTTTCTCCTTTGAAGAAAAGATAAATCTCATATTTCCTGGTCTAGATATAGTTTTGAAACTCTTTTTGTCTTTATCCTAGTGTTTAGCTCCCAAAGCACTGAGATGGCAACCCTGAAAAACCTAAATATCTTAAAACCATTTTCAACATAACTCAAAAAACACTCAAGGGTAATCTCCACGTGACCCATGATGCTGGTCTCCATGCCAGTCACCAAAAAGACTGGAACACTGCCTGGGGGCAGACAGCCCCTATCCAATAGGATCAGCACGTTGTAACGTGCACTGCAATGGACAAAAGGCACCAGGGGGGCAAAGAAAGGACAGGAAAAATTCTATGTAATGGGTAAGTTTTGAACGGGGTTTAAAAACCTGAGTATAAATGCACCAGATGGATGGATGGAGGGAAAGGGTTTGCTACCATATACAAATACCCAGAGGCATGAAAAAGTATAGTAGTCTTGAGAAAGGTACACAAACCCACCGTGGCCAAAGCATAAGGTGTAAAGGTAGAAGGTGAGTAGTGTGGAAAGTTAATTTGGGAATCATCATTATGAAGCCCTTACGTGCCAGCCAAAGAAGAAAAGAAAGAACTAAGATGAAACCTGAGCTAGACCAACATTTATGTGGTTCGTGAAACAAGAACCAGCAAAAAAATCAGATCGTGTTGGTTACTGATCAAACTCTGTCTCCACCCTAGTTGTTTCAAATATCTCCTTACTTATCTACAGGAAATGCTGCCCCTCTCCTGAAATGGGCCAATAAATCTGGGGTTTTCTGCCAGAGTTGTAACAGAATTAGTTCAACCCTGCCCTGTGATGAAATCCAGAGGGATGAAGGCCCTTCTGCTTCGGTGGGTAAACGATCCCTTCTGAAAACTCCGTAGGCAGCCAGTCTACCACTTTGCTCCTTTCCATCCTCATCCAACGGTACAAGGGGTCTCTCTGTCCTTTCAAGAGCACCACGCTGAGAAACACCAACAGGGACCAACTTCATACGCTCTCTCCCTGCTGGGGCTGGTCCTCGCACTGACAGGTCCTTCCACGGGCACTGAAAGGTGAAGAAAGGGTGGGAACTACCGAGGCTCTCGGTCTGCTCTAACCTTTTGCTGGGGGCCATTATGGCAGACTGAAGCTCCCACAGAGTTTGAAACAAGAGCAAGCAAACGGCAAAAAATGAAATGCTACAGCCAGGTCAAGTTGTATGAAAATGGGAAAGTGACTAATTGTTTACACAATCAGGTGGTCACTATTACCCTGGAAGGGAGAGTATCCATAGAATGATTTAGAAATAAATGAAAGATGAGGAAATCAAGCAGAGTAGAGCCTCCTCTTTGGAAAAGTTCTGATGATAAGGGAAGGAAAGAGGGTAGGAGCTTAATGGAATAGCATGGGAGAAGGAAGCATTTACTGGGATGTTTATGAGCCTGCTAGGGTAATCATTATTCCCTCAGCTTCTTATCATTATTTCCTTTTGTTCTATGGGAGGAATATCATCTTACTTTGATGATGTGCTCAGGGGCTCGGTCAGGAGTGTTGCTGAATTCTCCACCAATCTGGAGGTCACCGACACGGCAAATTGAATCCCTCAGCTCTGTGAGCTTTTGACTGCCCAATATCAGCATGACAAACCAATAAAACCACAAATCCTGTCACAATCAGATCTAAATTAAGTTACTGATTTTCTTAAATTTAAATTGTCCCCATAACTTGGTTCTGTTTTCTTAGCTTCTGTATTTGTCTATTTCGCACCCATTAATTATAGGGCCAAACTAACAGTCAAAACTATTCCCATCTGCCCCGTGATCCAGAGCCCATACTCTGAAACCACCTTCTTACCTAACTCTCACACACCAAGCGGGTATTTCCCCGGCTACCCCATCAACCTAAATCAACCCGGGCCAGGTGCCAAGCAACAAGGGACAGAGCCTACGCCCGAAAGCCTGCTGCAATTATTCAATCTAGCCCATCCTAAATTGTTTACTCTTCCCCGCCTGGCCTTTCCCACAGAAACCCCAGTAAAAATTGGGGTCTATGCAATCCCCTCTCTCCCTTCAGCCTCCTGGCTAAGAACAGTGCTTTTCTCTGTGGCCCTGTGTGGCATGCCCCCTCCTCTCCAGAAACGTAATAAACATCTTCCTTTAATGGCATTGGCCTCTCCGTGTCATCACTTGGTTACCTCCATAAACTAAAATCCCATCGGTACAACTGAGATACTTGGCAACAGAACGTTTCTAGTTAAAGCTAAAGCATGTAATCAACATGCTACCAAACTGACGTTGGCATTGAGAGCCTTGGGAATAAAACTTCATCAGCAGCATGTCTTTTAAAATTTCCTAAAAGTTATCTCACCAAAGCCAGATAATTTATACCCTAACCTCAGGTGATAAACCCAAAGATTCATTTTTTTGGTTTTGTTTTTCATTTTCTTACTAGTAATCTGAGATCTTAATCAAACAAGGTAATTAGTACAACTATATTCCAGATGCTTCACAAATGCCTTTTTATTCATAAGTGCAATTTATGTATAGTGATATTGCAATTAAACCTCATCAGAGTTTATGACATCTATTTAGGGAACCAAGAATATAGTATCTCTGAGCTAGGACAGACTTCGGAGAAATTCCTGGGTACCCCTGACTTGTTAACTTTCCATATTTTCATCAAAGAAGAGCTGTCTTTAGTTAGTTCAGTACCTTCCCAAGTATTCTGAACTCATGAACAAAGGTTACTCTCCACTCCTCCAATAGCCGACTACTCTGCAAAAAAGGCTCAAGAATTCATATAATTATTGTGGATTTACACATACTTTCAGTTGCTTCTAGCGCAGAAATTAGGTACACATTCCAATATTATAACTGTAATCCTATTGATCAAGAGAGTATTTCCAATATTCCCTATTAAAAGAACCCAAGAATACAAACTGTCAGCTCTAAAAATAAGATGTCAGATAGGCACCATATGCTTGCATTTATTTTGAATAGGAATGTGACTCTTCAAATCACTAAACCCTTGACAACTCAGATTATACACGAAACCCAAAAGGTTTTACTACTGACCTTATGAAATTTAACAGGGTACAAGATACCCACAGACAGAATAAGCTCCCCTTCTTCAATCACGTCTGCTGGATTTGCAGGGTTTTTTCCTACGGCAAGTGACTCCTCAAGAAAGGGAAAGAGACCTTGAAATCAGACATGTAACTCAGATAAGAGGCGGTGTGGAACAATGGCTCTCAACAAGGGCTTCAGTCCCACAGCCCTGGGTCTGATGCCTAATTCTACTTCAAGAAAAGTGTTGAAACATCACTAAGCTTTGGTTTCATCTTCTGTAAGGAAAAAAAAAATACCAGAAAATATTTATTTTACAAAACCATTGCTGGGAATATGTACACAAAGCATCTAATAATACGGTTGGCACTAAGTGCTTAGCAACTGATAATCAAACAGGAACAGGAACTAATGTTGGCATAACACTGGCATTTCTGGTTACTTTACACCAGAGAGTTAGAATGCAAATACGGATCTGTTTAGCTCTAAATCCCTTGTGCTTCTTACAACACCATCATATCTCTAATACATCATATTCCCTTTTATATGTTCAATAACTGTAAAATTGGGGCCACTATGAAGGACTGTTTAAGTAAAAATGTAAAATGTTTTCAAAATAAGCAAGGGCGATGTCACACAAAATGGCAGAGTAGGAAGCCCTGTGGCTCAGTCCCTCTAAAGAAGCAACTATTAAGCTGGAAAGACAACACTGGAATCCACTGGTTTGGAACTCCGGAACCACATGGGACACTTATAACTACCAGGGAGTGTTTGATGAAGGGAGAGGCTGCTGATCTTTTATAAGCAAGCAGTGTACGTAAATCAACTATCACTCCCCACATTCCTCAGCACCACCGCAGATGAGATACAGCTTGAGTTCCTGGAGCAGCTGGCTGGTGCCAGGGCAGGCAGTAGAGACCTTGTCCCTTCAAAAATTGGGAGTTGTGTGTTTTGGTTGCTCTGGTGATGCCCTGAGTGGCTGGCCCAGATGCCTGTCTTGGTTTTGACCCTCCTGGCAGTACTAGCTTCCCCCAGCACCATCTATTGGAAGATTTAGAGAAAGGAACCTTTATTCTTTTTTTTTTCTTTTTTCTTTTATGGAGCCATATATTTAAGGAAATCTTTGTCAGATCATTGACTGACTGCAGAGATAATGGAATAGATATGTCAATGACCACTATATTACAAGTATACACTGTAATTACAAGTGTATACAATACAATACCACTGTATTACAAGTAATACACATGCTGCAAAACAGTTTGGAAAAGTCACAGGCAGCTTTAGCCTTCAACAAGAAAAAACATACTCAGTATGTTCTCAGCAAAAACTTACAAAACACATCAAAGAGGAAAACTATGACACAGTCATAGGAAAATAAGAATTTGACAGGAATCAAGCCTGAAGAAGCCCACACAGTGAAATTATTAGTCAAAGATGTCAATTAACTGTTCCTACAGGCAAAAGCTAGATTCACACATAAATAAAAGCCCACTAAACAAACAAAAAAAGAAGTTACACCAACTGTCTTAAATGTGCTAAATGAGTACCCCAGAAATTTGTATAATCACTATGTACCAATTTTAAAAAATGTGTTGAATGAGCTAAAGGAAACCACAAATTATGAAAGAAAATCAGTTTTCTCAATAAGACTAACAGCAGATTTCTCCATCAGAAACCATGGAGACTAGAAACCAGTGGGTGACTGACTTACTTATTTAGAGATGGGGTCTCGCTATGTAACCCAGGCTGGCCTCAAACTCCTGGGCTCACATGATCTTCCCACCTCAGCCTCTCAAGTAGCTAGGACTATAGGCATGCACTAACGTAACCAGCTTTTCTTTCATTTTAAATTTTATTTTTTGGATGACATATTTAAAGCCATGAAAGAAAAAAATTGTCAGTCAAAAATTCTACATCTGCCAAAACCATCCATCAGGAATGAAGGAGGAATTAAGACATTTTCAGATAAACAAAAGCTAAGGAAGTTCATTACCATTAGACCTGACCTATAATAAATGCTAAAGAGAGTTCTGGCTGAAATGAAAGACACTAGACAGCAACTTGAAGCCATAAGAAAAAATAAAGAGCTGGGCGCAGTGGCTCACACCTGTAATCCTAGCAGTCTGGGAGGCAGAGGCAGGAGAATCTCTTGAGGTCAGAAATTTGAGACCAGCCTGAGCGAGAGCGAGACCCTGTCTCTACAAAATATGGAAAAATTAGCTGGGCATGGTGGTCCACGCCTATAGTCCCAGTTACTCAGGAGGCTGAGACAGGTGGATCACTTGAGCCCAGGAGTCTGAGGTTGTAGTGAGCTATGATGATACCACTGCACTCTAGCCACAGCAATAGAGGGAGACCCTGTGTCAAAATAAAAAAAAAAAAAAAAAAAAAGGAAAAAAGAAAAGAATAGAAATAAAGAACACTGGTAAAGGTAACTACATATGTAAATATTAAAAGACGATGTTACTGTACTATTTTTCCTGTATGATTCCAAAACAAATGGATTAAACAATATTTATAAGTTTATAAAGATAAAATCTGTGACAGTAACAATATAAAAAGGGAGAGACAAAATGTAAGGACAAAATGTTGGTATAATATGGAAACAAAATTGGTACAGATGTTCAACTTACAATAGGGTTATGCCCCAAAAACCCATCATGAATCAAAAATATTGCAAGTTGAAATGCATTTAATACCCTCATAAACCCATCATAAAGTCAAAAAATCCTAAGGTGAACCACTGTAAGTTGGGGACTACCTGTATTACGAAAAGTAAGTTAGCATGGACAACATAGTGAGACCCTGTCTCTACAAAAAACAAAAAAATTAGCCAGGCATGGTGGCACATGTCCATAGCCCTAGCTACTCGGGAGGTTGGGGACAGAGGATTGCTTGAGCACAAGAATTCAAGGTTACAGTGAGCTATGATCACGCCATTGTACTCCAGCCTGGGCGACAGAGCAAGACCCTGTTTCAAAAAACAAAACCGAAAAAGGGAGGTTGCTATAAGATTGAATTATAATCCCCAAGATAACTGCTAGGAAAATACCTAGAATATGTACAGAAAAGGAAGAAGGGAATAAAACTGGTATACCACAAAAATTCAACTACACATACATAAAATAAGGCAGTAATGGAGGAATTAAGGAATAAAAAATATGAGACATGCAGACAGCTAAATGGCAGAAGAAAATCCTTCCTAATCAGTAATTACTTTAAATGTAAATGGATTAAACTCTTATTAAAAAGGCAGATTGGCAAATTGGATAAAAAAAACCTAATGCTGTCTACAAAAGACTTGCTTTAGATACAAAGACACAAACAAGTTCAAAAGATATTCCATTCAAACAATAACCAAAAGAAAGCTGGAATGGCTTTATTATTGTCAGACAAAATATACTAAGTCAAAAAAAATTACAAGAAACCGGGTACACAGTGCATGTCTGTAGTCCCAGCAACTCAGGAGGCTGAAGTGAGAGGATCACTTGAGCCCAGGAGTGGCGGCCAGTCTGGATAACACAGCAAGACCCTGTCTCTAAAAAAATTTTTAGAAGAAGTTACTAAGAGACAAAAAAGTACATTATATACTGATAAAAAGTACCACCCAGTATGCATTATACAGATGTATACACCTACCTATACATTGCGAACTTATATGCAGCCAACAACAAAACTCTAAAATATATGAAGCAAAAACAGAATTGAAGAAAGAAACAGAGAGTTCTACAATAATAGTTGGAGAATTTAATATCCTACTTTCAATAGTGGGTAGAACAACCAGATACAAGATTAATAAGGAAACAGGAGACTTGAACAGCATTATAAAACAATTAGACCTAACAGACATGTACAGAACTCTCCATGCAACAATAGCTGAATATAGATTCTTCTCAAGTGCATACAGACAATTCTCCAGGACAGACCATCAAATCTTAAATTTACAAAAACCAAAATCACAAGGCTGGGTACAGCAGCTCACACCTGTAATTCTAGCACTCTGGGAGGCCAAGGCAGGAGGATTGCTTGATCCCAGGAGTTCAACGTTGCAGTGAACTATGTTGATGCCACTGTACTCCAGCCTGGGCAATAGAACAAGACGCTGTCTCTTAAAAAAAAAAAGAAAAAGAAAAATAGCAAATCAGTCAATGCATGCAATACACTACACTAACAGAATGATGGGGAAAAAACAGATCATATCGCAATTGATACAGAAAAGCATTTAACAAAATGCAACACCCTTTTGTGATAAAAACACTAAATAAACTAGGAACAGAAGGGAATTTGCTCAACATGATAAAGGCCATATATAAAAAACCGACAGCTGACAACATACTCAACAGGTAAAGACTGAAAACTCTTCCCGTAATATCAGCAACAAGATATGCGTACTTTTGCCACTCCTATACAACACAGTACTGGAAGTTCTAGATAGAGAACAGAGGGCGTAAGGGAGGGAGAGAAGAGGGAGAGAGGTAAAGAGGAAGGAAGGAAGAAGGGAAAAAAAGAAGGGAAGGAGGGTGGGAGGAAAAGCGGGAGAGGGGAAGGGCAACCAAACCGGAAAGGAAGAAATTAAATTATCTTTGTTTACAGATGACATGCTCTTATGAATACAAAACCCTAAAGAATCCAAACACACACACACACACACACACACACACACAGAGCTAATGAACAAATTAAGCAAAGGTGCAGAATACAAAATCAACACACAAAAACAAATTGTATTTCTATACACTAGCGATGAACAATCCGAAGAAATTAAGAAAACAATTCCATTTGCAACAGCATCAAAAATAATAAAATACTTAGGGATAAATTTAACCAAGGAGGTGAAAAGCTTGTACACTTAAAAACCACAAAACAAGCCGGGCACAGTGGTGAGTGCCAGCAGTCCCAGCTACTGGGGAGGCTGAGGCAGGAATATCACTTGAGCTCAGGAGTTCAAGACCAGCCTAGGCAACATAGTGAGACCCTGTCTCCAAAATTAAAAAAAAAAAAGTTAAAGAAATAAAAAAATAAAAACCATAGTTGTAGGGGGTGGGGGAAAAACGTAGCTGAAAAAAATTAAAGACCTAAATAAATAGAAAGACATCTCTTGTTCATGGATTGGAAGACTTAATATTGTTAAAATGTCAATACTCCCCAAAGTAATCTACAGATTCCATGCAATTCTCATCAAAATCCCAATGGTGTTTTTTCCAGAAATAGAAAAACTTATCGTAAAATTCATATGGAATTCTGACAGACGAGAATACCCAAAACAATCTTGAAAGAGAACAAATTTGGAAGATTCACATTTCATGATTTTAAAATTTACAACAAAGCCACAGCAATCAAAACTGTGCAGTTCTAGCATAAGGATATATAGACCAATGGAATACAACAGAGGAACTTATCAAACATGCTAAGACCACTCAATAGGGAAAGGACAGTCTGGAAAAAACAGATGTCTATCTGCAAAAGAATGAAGTCAAACCATTAACTCATATGTAAAAATTAACTCAAAATGAATCAAAGACCTAAACTTATACACTGATGCTATAAATTCTTCAAAGAAAGCATAGGGGAAAATCTTCATGATGCTGGATTTGGCATTTTCTTAAGTATGACACCGAAACACAGATGACAAAAAAAAAAACCAGATAAACCGAACTTCATCAAATTTAGAAACTTTTGTACATCAAAGGACATTATCAAGAAAGTAAAAAGACAACCCATAGAATAGGAGAAAATATTTTCAAATTATATGTATGGTTAAGGATCTAGTATTCAGAATATACAAAGAACTCTTACAATAAGACAAACAACCCAATTTAAAAATGGGCAAAAAACTTAAGTAGACCTTTTTCAAAGAAAATATACAAATGGCCAAAAATCAAATAAAAAGATGTTCAGCATAATCAGTTATTAGGGAAATGCAAATCAAAACCACAATGAGATACTACTTCACACCCACTAAGATGGCCAGTAGGATGGACATTACAAAAAAAAGCAAAACAGAAAGTGCTGACAAGGATTTGCAGAAATTAGAACCATCATGCATTGCTGAGGGTAAAACTGCTATGGAAAGGTTTAGTGGTTCTTCAAAATTTTAAACATGGAATTAACGATATGACCCAGCAACTCCACTCCTAGGTACTTACCCCAGATAATTGAATACAAAGACTCAAACAGACACTTGCACACCAATTTTAATAGCAGCATTATTCACAACAGCCAAAAGGTGGAAACTACCCAAACGTCCATCAACGAATGAATGAATAAACAAAATGTGCTATATCCATACAATAGACTACTATAGAGCCATAAAAAGGAATGATGTTCTAATGCTATAACATGGATGAACCTTTAAAATGTTATGCTAAGTAAAATAAGCCATATATAAAAGGACAAATATTGTATGATTCCACTTATACGAGGTATCTAGATTAGGTAAATTCACAGAGACAGAAAGTAGAATAGAGGTTAGAGACTGCAGGAGGGGACACTGGTGAGTTACTACTTAATGGGTACAGAATTTGGGAAGATTAAAAAGTTTTGGAAATAGTGGTGATGGTTACACAGCATTGTGAATGTACTTAATGCCACTTAAACACTTAAAAATAGATAAATGGTAAGTTTTATGTTACATAAATTTTACCACAATAAAAATAAAATCAGTGGGAGAGATGACAGATGCCATTATGCATTATTCAGTGCCCAGTACAGTGTCTGGCACATAGGAGGTTCTGTACCCATCATGTCTGCTAGCTCTTAGTTCCTCAACACTCATCATCCTAAATATTTCTTAGGATTTTACACAAGAGATAATGGATTAGGATTAAGAATGTGGTTAAGGGCTGGGCGTGGTGGCTCAAGCCTATAATCCTAGCACTCTGGGAGGCTGAGGCAGGAGAACTGCTTGAGCTCAGGAGTTCGAGACCAGCCTGAGCAAGAGGGAGACCCCATATCTACTAAAAATAGAAAAATTAGCCGGATGTCCTGGTGTGTGCCTATAGTCCCAGATCCTCCAGAGGCTGAGGCAAGAGGGTCACTTGAGCCCAGGAGTTTGAGGTTGCTGTGAGCTACAACGACGCTGCTGCACTCTACCCAGCGTGACAGAGTGAGACTCTGTCTCCAAAAAAAAAAAAACGTGGTTAAACCAAAATTAGGAGTTAGGAGTTGAACAAAAAGACCAGAAATAGAGTGATGATAACGCAAACATTTAGCCTAATAGTGAGAGAAGGACCAAACTCAGAGCAAAAATAAAGGCAGAGATCTGAAAGAGCCAAATACGCAGTCACTTGAGCTCTGTGTGTCCTTTTTCCTCACTAGTTCCCAGTCCCAGGGGAGGTTCTCTAGCTTGTTTCCAACTAAGCATATCCAACATCAAACTACCACACAGTCTACACTAACACTCAGCCAATGACAGTATACTGTTTCATGAGAAAAGAGTGAAAAAGACGGGAATCTTACCATCTCATAAGCAAATGTTTCTTGTCTGCAGACTCAATCTATCATAATGGTTTCTTCCCAACGTTCCGAGAACTTTCTAACCCTGTTGTAAATACAAGAAAAATCAAAGTTCAGCATTCTTTACTGGGCTTCTTTAATATTTAACTTTTTATTCTGAACTAATCTGAGACTTAAAGTGGCAAAAATAGTACAAAGAGTTCCTTCGTCTCTTATTCAGCTTCCCCTAAGTTAACACCTTACATGATCACAGAAAAGGGATCAAGAACAGGAAATTAACACTTACACAATATTATTAGCGACAGACATTTTTCAAATTTCACACAATATTAATGTAATGCCTTTTTTTTCTGTTTCAGATTCCTACCCAGTACCCCACATGGCATCAGTTATATTTCCTTAGTCCACTCAAGTCTGTCAGTAGTCCCTCCTCGTCTCCCTGTCTTTCATGATCTTGACACGTTCAGGGATCACTAATCAGTTATTTTGTACAATGTCCTTCAATTTGGGTTTGGTTCCTGCTTCCTCATGATTGGAATAAACTTTGCATTTTTGGCAAGACCACCACAAAAACGATGTCCTTCTCAGTACATCAAATCAAGAGGTTCATGATGTTAATATGTCATATTACTGGTGATGTTTACATTGGTTAAGTCCCTGTCTGCCAGATTCCATTGCTTGTCTTTATTAACACGCACTTGTAAAATTAGCGAACAGAAAAACTAGATTTTGATGAAACTGTCTTGTTCCTTTACTCCAATCCGCAGAAACCGTGTATCAGGGTCCTGGGACTCCTCCCGGTGTCCCAGGAAGGCTCCAGCCGGTTGAAAGCTTCGAAAGCGCGATCCTACTACCCCAGGTCCCTCCAGGGAGGAATCCCAGAGGACATCAGGAGAAAGACTGCACCCCGGGTGGCCCCAAACCGCAAGAGCCCCTCGGCCCGCACTCACCCGCACACCATCCTCAGCTCGGCCGCCGCCTGCAGACTGCAGCCGAGATCCCGGGCCACGGCGGCATCCTCCCGGTCCGAGTCCGCGACCTCTCCACGCCGGGGCAGCGCGGGTGCCGGCGGCTCCCTCAGCGACAAGTCCCCGGCCCGCGCAGCCGGCCACGCCACAGCTACCCAAAGGCGCCCACGTGGAAAGCGGGCGTGTTTAGCTCGGGCAGCTGGTGCTCGGACAAGCTGCAGCCGACAGTGCTGGCGACCCGATCCTGCCCTGCCGCCGAGAACCCCGCCGCCCGTTGAGCCGCAGCAGCCGCCTTCCGTCACGTTCTCCCCACTCCGTCCCTTCCCTGCAACAGCCCCGCCAGCAAGGCCTCGCGGGGCCTGATGGGACTTGTAGTCGCCTGCGGCGCTCAGCGAGCGGCAGGAGGGAGTGGGCGCGGCTGCACGCACTACATTTCCCGGCATTACGCACTACATTGCCGGTGCCCGGCGCTGCTGAGAGCGGTGGCTGCTCTAGGCCACCGCAGCGAGGCGGGCTGGGTTCCGAGTCTGCAGGACTTTTCCTTGAGCCCAGGGTTAGCAGGCTGCTCTACCTCACTGCCCTAGAGTCTGAGAGACAAGAGGGCTGAGGGCAGACACCAGGGACACGACCAGCCCTCCAGATCCGATCCTTTCAGAACCTCCCCAAAGACCCCAGTTTGGCACTCATGTATATACATATGCATTGCTGTGTGTGTAGTGTTTCAGAGCCTCTACTCTGATCACACACTGTGCATTAACCCTAATGCATATTTTTAAAAATCACAACAACCTTTCCAGGTAGGAATTATTATCCCCATGTTAGTGTTGAAGGAGTTAACTGCTAGGGAAAGAAACAGGATTGGCTCTGATCTCAATTGGTCTAGCTTCAAAGAGAGCACTCCATCTCTCAGAGGCCCCAAAGTACATGGTGGGACGTACAGAAGAAGCCTGTCTATTTATTAGGGCATAGACATATACCATATAATTCACTCACTTGTGTTTATTCAATGGTTTTTAGTATATTCACAGAGTTGGGTAACCATCACCACAATGTATTTGAGAACTTTTTTCCCACTCCAAAAAAGAAATCTGGGCAGGGCTTGGTGGCCTGCCTGTAATCCTAGCACTTTGGGAGGCCAGGGCTTGAGCCCAGGAGTTGGAGGCTGCAGTGACCTATGTTTGCACTACTGCAGCCAATCACCCAGGCCAGTGACTATATTTATGGTAACTCTGTGCTGAACCATTTGAAAAACTGCCAGACTGTTTTTCAAAGCGGCTGCTGCATTTTACACTCCTACCCTGCAGAGTTCTGATTTCTCCACATCCTTGCCAACACCTGTTATTATCTGAATTTTTTATTATAACAATTGTAATGTTTTAAGGATCGTGTACATTAAAAGAGAAATGAAGACATGCACAAAAAGTTGTATAATAATGAAATATTTTAGAAGTTTACATTAAAAAGTTTAACACCTTTAATTACAGGAATGCTATGCAATAAAACTATGCTATTCAGAAGATTAAAAACAAATCTTAGTGGATATGTAATGATGTCTCATTGTGGGTTTGATTTGCATTTCCCTGGTGATATTGAGCATGTGCTTACATGTTTATTGATTATCTGCATATTCCTTTAGAGTAATGTCTATTCAATTCCTCTCCCCATTTTTCAATAAGGTTATTTGTCTTGTTATAGGAGCCCTGGTTTTTATCAGTGCACTATTGTAGGAGACATTTGTTGTTTTTGTCTGCCTAGCATTCTGTTTCTTAGATCTGACCTTCCCTACTCATTTTGGTCCTCCTGCGGTTACCAATCATAGAATCCTTACCACTCTGGCCATAGTGATTGGTCCAAGGATGAGCAAGTGACTCAATTAGAACCAACCAGAATTTCCTGTGGGATTTTATCTATCAACTAAGAAGTTTTTATCAGTTCTGAGGACTTAAGCATGTGTCCTAGACACAGACTGTGCCTGCCAGTGGAAAAGTTAGAAGGAATAGAGGCAAGAGTTTGAGTAAGCAAAGGCAGAAAATAGAGAAAATGGAAGCCATGTGACTTGTTACTATTGGGACTGAGGCCATCTCCCCTCCTATACTTGCCATTATGTAAGAGAAGCAAAATTTTCCCTCTACTCTCATAGGGTTTTTTGGCTGGGCCTGAAAATTAAATTGACATAAGACCGATCAACAGAAGAAAAGCATACAAATTTATTTAACACAAGTTTTATGTGGCATAGGATCCTTCTTCAAGAAATGAAGACCCAAAGATGCAGTTAGAATTGAATACTTATTTGCTGAATTGGATAGTAGCATTAGCTGATTTTGCTGATGCAAGATACAGTGGAAAGAAATGAGAACAGCTGGATCTGTTAATACTTATCTGTGCAGTAAACCTCTGGTGTCTTCCTGTCATGGAAGGTGCCCCATCTATACATACACTCACTAAATTGACCAAATTCAGTCCAACTTCACAACATTTATCTTGAAAGTTGTTGAAGATTATCTATTTTCCATGTTCTGTTCCCAAGAGTGCCCAAAGCAAGTAAATCTTTGTAGGAAAGAAAATCTTCTGTTATGACCCAAATGAAGTATAACACCTGCGCTGAGTCAGTAGTATCAGTTGATTCATCCCAAGCAATTGAATAAAATATATTTTCCTTTTGAAGTATTGCATGAAGTTGTTCTGTTAAGTTGAAGGCTAATTCATGCTGCCAATCAGTTATGGTTCTCCTGGAAAGAGGCAGCTGTTTGTACTTTGAAATGTTATCGGAGTCTGAGCATCCTACAACTTCGACAATACATTTTTCCACAATTTCTGCATCACTGCATGGCTTTCCATTTTTCCTAAGTATATAAGTTACTTTATAAGTTGCTTCAGTGGTATTATTTCCAGGTCTCATTGCTGCTTGAAAGAATTGTCTTTGCTGTTGCTTTTCATCTGTTAATTTCTGCAATACAGCCTTTTATGCTTGTGCCTCTAATTTAAAATATTTGTGGTCCTCGTGAATGTTATAACGCTGATGAGCATTGAATTTCTTTAATGTTGGTGTTGCAGTATTACAAAGCAAGCAAATCATCTTATCTTTAATAGAAACAAGATAATATTGCAATTCCCAATCCTCATTAAAAAATCTGTTTTCTTCCTTCAGCATTCCTTTGGCCTTCTTTAGCATAATGGGCTGTTAAGCAGATAGAATTAAAAAATACTATCAAGCTGTGCAACTATTTACAAATTCCATTTCAAACAGAAATACAGTGAACTGTTGTCAAAGGCTGATAACAGATTGGTGTAATCAACCCCCATAAACTCTCGTTAGCCAGCTTCAGGTGGTAGTGGCACCAGTCAGGCGGGAAAGTTAGGACTAAATCATGAGGGTAGCAGCCGTCAATTTAGCCCTTATGGCTTACTGATGTTCTAATTGTGCCGGTCAATCTGGGAGGATTGTTTTGTCGCAACTTATTTTATTCTTTGGTATTTTAAATATATTCATTTTAAAAATAAAATAAAAATATAAAAGACCAACAAAATTGTATTAATAAAGACAAAAGGATTTATTCCGTAAAATTTGGATTCAGTCAAAAGGCCGAACTTAAAAACCTAGAAGGCCACATGTGGCCTTAAGGCCGCAAGTTCCCCACCCCTGGGCTGTACCATACATCTAGGTGTGTAGGAGGCCATCTGGGTTTGTGTAAGTCATTCTGAGATGTTGCCCTAATGACACATTTCTCAGAACATATCCTCATCATTAAGTGATGGATGACTGTAGCATTCTTCAAGTTTCCCCTCCCTGTCCTCCATATCCCCTACACACACACACACACATACACACACACACACACACACACTCATTCCCATCAACAAAGATGGCTTTATTTCTCCCATCGCTTTTTAAAACATGTGTCTGGGCTTGAAGTGGATGGTGCTGCCCCCAGCCTGGACCTCTGTCCTTACCTATTCGATGCACATAGGCCCTGCTTCCGCCCGTCAGCAACTTCTTCTTCAGCCAAGGGCTTTCTTTTCTCTGCCTCAGTTTTGCCCCCACCCACCCATAGCAGGCTAGTAAATTTGTACTAGCAACAACTAACAGGAGCTGGTATACAAACACCACATCTCCATTCCCCATCAGGTGGGATAATTCTGGAGCAATGTGTCGCATTCCCAAAACTTCCACGCAGGATTGAGCGCCATCACCCAAATGAGAGCTGGCTAGGTAAAGCGTCCTTACGGAGCACAGCTGCTCCCCTCATCTAACTTCCCACATCCCTGCTGATACTCCCTCAACATCCCCAACAAGCCATTTCCACTTGGGGGCTGCTTGGGAACTCAAAGATAGGACCCCAGTTCCCTCTCCAGGCACTGTTCCGATTTCTGATTTCCTGTTTTCCTGCATGACAAAACTCCTCAGGAGCGTGGTTTCTAGCCGCTGTCTACAATGCCTCTCCTCTCTCTCCTTAGCCTGTGGCCAGGCCTCCTCCCCCCATCCCACTGGAGCAGCTCCCACTGAGGCAGTGATGGCCTCTGTGTTGCTGAATCCAGTGGTCCAGTCTCAGGCCTCGGCCTGGCTGCCGGTCAGCACTGTGTGACTGCACCGATGGTCTTCTCCTTCCCAAAGCACTTTGCTCACTCGGCCTTCTGGATGTCGCAGGCCCCGGTCTGCCTCCTTGCTTGCTGGCCATTGGTTGCTCCTCAGCTCCCTGAACTCTTAGCACTGGGACCCCCCACCCCAGGGCTCAGTGCTTGGTCTTTTCTGTTCTGACACATCCAGCCTTAAGTTTTAAAATACATTCTAAACCCTGGAGACTCCCAGAATTTATCTTTTCAGACACCAGACACCTACTCAGCATCCACCTGGACGTCCAATAGACATGTCAAACATCACAGTCCCCAAACTGAGCTCCTATCCTCTGGCCCACCTGGCATCTTTCCCTTCTCAGTTAGTGACAGCTCACCTCTTCCAATTGCCTGCACCAAAACCCTTGGCTTCAGCCTTGGATGACTTCTTTTCCTACATGCAATAAATCCTAATCAGTCATTCAGAAGGTGTACGAAATGCAACCCATTCCAGCATACCACTGCTGATTGCCTAGATTATGACACCTGCCTCCTAAGTGGTCTCTCCACCTCCACCCTGGCCTCCCTGATTGTTGCTCCATAAATTAATATAACTATATTGGAGACATAAACGGTGCCAGGAGTTTTTCAGAGCTTTGCCCTGAAGGAATATGTGAATGTGTTAGTTTGCATATGGAAAGCTGTTTCACCTCAGGAGGGCATCTCAAAGGTCAGTAGCGGCTGTTTCCCAGTTGGCACCACGTTCCTCAGCACCTGTGGTTCTGACTTGCTTTGAAAAGCAAAGCAGGTCTGCTCGGAGCCACGGGGTGAGAGCTGATCAAAGAATGCCCGCCCGACAGACAGACACCTGTGGCTAAAGGCAATTAGCCCA